AATATTCAGTGGGTGGCTACTGACAAGGGAGCGAATAGAAATAATTTGAGACTCTGAATTGGTTATGATACACACTAAGACTAGATTGAAACACAAATAAAGACATTTTTCTATTTATGTTCCTACTAGTTTTCCTATCTTATGCTTGGGAAACTCCTCCTCAAAAAACACCCCTTACTGACTTTGATAGTGTTTTACCGAGCAGTTCTATTAGTTTAAATTCTTCTTTGGACCGTTGAATATCTTACGGTAAACAGTTTGATTGCTGTTACCTTGATATATACACCTTGCATATAAAAGGAACTCTGTGTGCTTTTAGGGAGCTGAAAGGAGTTCTGAAATTCACATAAATGGAACCAAATTAAGGAGTTGCGTATAGGGCTTGAATTTGTATTTTGTTTTTCACTCTAAAAGTCTACATCCATTAGTTATCATTTCTAGTGATTAGTCATTACAATTTGTGTCTGTGAAACAATGTATTAATAGACTCATTTTTTGGCAGTACTTTGCTATTCTGGAGAAAATTGTCGTAAAGGACAGCTTTTATCCTAAGAAATTTGTATAGATAATTGTGCTATAGTAGTGCCCATGTGTCCGTTTCATTTAATGACTTGTTGTTCATTTCTTTCTTCTTTCTTAATACTTTGCAGATCATTTGTTCAGTAAATGTTATCAGTATATCAGTATATCTGGAAGTTTTGACATAAAAAGATTGTGTGTCATTTCCACAGTAAGTACCCAAAGTCAGCCTTAAGCCAGTTAGACTAACCTAAAACCATGGCTAGCTATGTAATACACTGAGTTCAGTTAATCTCAAGATGAGAAAAATAAGTAATTTCCATTTTAATTTTAAAGGTCAATTTGAAGATACATTTTTGTATCCCTGATCCTGTAGAGAGTGGTCCTTTAGTAACTGAAGGTCCCACCAGTGCATTTGTGTCTGTTACTGATGGACCGCTCTCTGCTGTAGGACCAGAAATATCAAAATCTCTCATAGGTTTTGCAATTCTTAATTTAATTTAAATGGAAATTTCTTACATAGCCTATATTGGAAATTAACAGATCTGGACTCTAGCCTTGTATTTGCCTTCAGGAGCATGCTTTAGGTAGTGTATCTTTAGGATTTCCCCAGACTAACTTGTATTTACACACCCAAGTTGGTTTTCCCAGGTTCTAGATGAAATCCCATTCCATACTGCTTTAGCTGACTTCTCAGAACACTTGTTCTGTAGCTTCCTTCCCAGAGTCATTTACTAGGGAGACTTTTCTATCCGGTGCAAAGACTGAAATTATTTCTAAGGGTAACACTTTACCTCAGTGTCTTGACTTAAAAATTCAGCTAGTTCAGCAGCATGCTGATGAGGTGGCTGAGTTTAGCTGAACTTCAGGAATTTCAAGTAGTCACTCTGTCTTTTCAAAATATTTTACTCATCTGTATCACAAGGATTTTTTCAGTTGCACCTTCTTAGCTTCCTTTTTCCTAACCTAGGTCACAATCTATAAATGCTTGGCAGTTGATGAAAGGCCAAAAAGTCTGTTGTTCCATGTGAGCACAAGTACATTGCTGGTACAGGTCTTCCGAAGAAATCCTCTCATGTTGTCCATGAATGCTTGTCCACTTATGACTTCTAGTCACTGCTGCTGAAGGGGATGTGTAGGGTTTTTTTGCTCTTGATTACTGGTTTTGATAGATTTAGCCTTCATTTTTTTTAAAATTCAGCTCTGAAGTCCTTAATACTAAACTAATGCTTTCATTAACTAAAACCGTTTTCTTTGCTTCATTTATTACAGTCAATGTAGTTACCTAAAAGCTCAGTCTCTGTTTTCCTTAAAACTGCTCTGAAGATAAAATTAATCTTAGAATTATTAAAAATTAAAAAAAAAGAGCATGTTGATTTTCACTTTATCTTTTGAGCTTTCCATTGGAAACGGGTCTGTGTGGTTTTGCAAAATAACAGTTCTTTGATTGTGTACTTTCAATTTGTTACCATGGTAAATTTTTATCTCTGAGCTGTGGTCCCTGATCAGATCTGAACTTGCTTGTAAAGTCCCAGAGGAGGAAAAAGAAAAAAAAAAAACAAATCCCCTAAACTAAAACAAAATCATTGCGCAATCATTCTGGCTCCTGGCAGTTGCATATTCTTTTTAAAGAAATACATCTCTGCATTTAAAGAAGAGAGCTATAATTACAAGAGAGTATTGATTCTCTGTCATGGTCCACGTGTGAGCTTACAAAACTGAAGCAGCACAGCAGGACTTCGGGCAATCAAAAATGCAGAATGTTTAAAAGACTTGTTGGTGACCAGAAGGATTTATTAGATGGGAGTAATTGGTTTTGACGTGAGTCACAAAGGGCAAGTCATCCTGTAATGGATCAAAATTTTCTTCATCTTTTGTGGATGAGAACAGCAGTCATGTAAATTGCTGTCATTTACAAGTAATGTGGTAAATTCGGGCCAGAAGTCATTAGTAACTGAATACTTACGGTCACTTCAGTGCTTCTCATTACCTTGCCACCCTTGCCCTTTGTCAGTAATTTAAACTCAAGCAGAATAATTGAAAATAAATTCTTGAAGTTACTCTGCTAATGCCGAGAAGGATTGCAATATTTGTGAATATGTCAGAAGGTGAAGTTGCTTCATCGTATTTATCTTTTCCCAGGCTGGTATGGGAGCCAGAATTGACCCATGCCTGTCAGCTTGAATAAACAAGTCAATGACTTGGATCAAAATCTGAGCAGTTAATAGTGATTAACTTTGTTTTGTCTGATGTGTGGAAAGAGAAGTTATTAAACAAATAGACATAACCAAGATCTCCTGCAACAGCAGACACTCTAGCGCAGAGCCACAAAGCATTAAGGCATCTGGAAAATTCTAGGAGAGACTGATCTTCCTATTGACATGCAGTTGTGAGGAGGGCAATACCAGACTTACTTGATTATTTGGTTTGGGGTAGTCCTTTATGGTGTCTTTAGATTGTTTAAATTCTGCATAACAGTCAGTGGGTATGGAGCCTCATGAGGCTTGACCAGTGGTCAAATCACCTCCTAGTGACGTTTGTTTTGAGGAAGTACAGGTCCCTGGCTTTTCTAAGTACATAGACAAGGGGTGATCACAAGCAGAATTAAGCATAGCAGCTATCCCAGTTCTGTCACTGGTGCTACTGTAATTTTTTGAGAACTGTGTACTAAGTGATTCTTAATTGCCAAGTCTTGGTGTGAAAGTATGCAGGACTCATCAGCAAAGTTAGTGAAATAATACCAAGCAGCATGCTATGCTTTGTAGTGTGATGCATCATGCCTTTTGTACGCTTGTGGTAAGTCGTGCCAAGGTAAATTAATTTCAACAGATGTCTTATAAAAACTTCAGGAAATCTGGAGGTATATTTGAAACTCAGATGTTTCCCAGACACTGCATCTTGGTTTTGGTGTAGGTTTATAGAAGTTTGTAATACAGTTCGGTATTTCATGTCAATGCAAATATTCTTTGGTCAAACCACATATGGTAAAGCCTTAGTTGTGGCCACATTCTCAGTTTGCTACTCAACAAAATTAGAAAAAAGCGTCATGAGGAGAGCTTTTCAGCCATAACTAAATGGCACGAGGG